TGAGAACTTGTATTAACAGTTGTTGGAACTGAAAACAATTGAAGAAAGACAAAATTGGTTTAAATCTCGATTCATTGATGTTGTCAATCAATACACGACATATCGAATTCCATGAAAAACTTAATGCAGAATCGAAATATCGTCATTTTCAAACCTGATAGGAACTCTGGTGTAGTACTAGTGGTTAAAAAGTTAAGGTTCTAGATGATTCTGCTAGGTTCCTAGTTAACTGAAGCAATAGAAAGGCGTATCACAGAGAAGTTAAAAGGCTTTTTGAAAAGGAATTTAATTAATAATCGAACATATAATGTATCGAAACCACGGGGATCCAGATTGTCTTATTTGTATGAACTATCAACAAACCTGACGTCCTCGTCAGACCTATCTTATCGATGATCAACTCTCTATCTCACAAACTGGTTGGATGGTTAGACTAAAGGTACTACTAAAAAGAATGTATTCAACGACGAAGTTGGTGTTTCTATACTAAAGCATATACTCATTGAGACAATCAAATGTGGACAGATACCCCTAATTGTATTTAGCAGTTTACATGTACGTGCGAAAGCGTATACATCAGTAGAACAGAAAGGAAGGTTTGCATCCGCATCTCCGAAAGTACTCCACAAAACCTGGTGCAATTGTTCGATGGTAGACATGTTGTTGAAGTTGCGAAATCATTTAAAATAATCAAATAATACTTTGCCAAATCTGTTGCATTAAAAACCGGATTTATGTCTATTCAAAAATGGGACAGTTCTGTTCTAATCTGATGACCTTATTTTTCGTGATCAATAACATGAAACTTTGTTTTCTATTTTTCCATATACTTTAATCAAGTAGTTTATATTGCGTAATCTATTTTCTGTCTCGCGAAATCTTTTATTTCTATACTCTTCTAGAATATTCATATACTTAACCTATAAATAAGGGAGCGTTCAAACAATTCCAGTTCTTCCGTACTATGATCGCTTAATATTATTCTATTTCCATATTTTAAATTAATTTATCCTAGATGTTTCTGATATAAAGTATGTATATTTGTTTTAATGATTTATTTGAGCACAAATGGGCACCAAATACATATACGTCACACAAGTCACTTGATTTGTGTGTGGACTGCGATACAGTCCGGGTATCAAAACCGAAGCAGATGGTTTTCTTAGGGACATACACTCAGAGCCTTCGGCCTAAAAGTCTGATCCATAAGGTAGTGGAGCGACATAAGGAGATGCACACCCATCGTGGCCGGCTGTTTATTCCCTCAGAATCCTGGAGCCCATGTGCACCATTAGTTTGGAATCAGGGTTTTCCAACCCCTTTAGGTGGGTCCTCCATATCAAACAACCCGGTCAAAGCGCCGGACATCCGCTATTCGTCCTCTCAATTTCGTAAAAAACACCCTCGCTATGAGAAAGGAGGTGAGTAGGACTTTGTCATCAGTGGCTGTATACGCGTGTCCACGTGAGAGCTAACTCTTTCCACCCTCGACCGTAACGAGGCATTTGGGGGTTGTAAACAGTTGAAGAGAGTCCATGAAATAAATCAATTCATATTATTTCTCTACGATATTTCTTCTTTCCTTTTTCAAGTTTATGAGAGAGGTTGTATGAAATTGTTTGACATAGTGTTCATAAATCAATTTGAGCCGATGTAAATAAATACCGAATTCTCAGTCAGTCAGCTACAAAGTAGGACCAGGCACATATATGCATCGGTCCATTTACCATACCGCATTAACACAGCAAGATGAACACCGAATTCATAGGAGTACTTAAGTCAATGGTGGTAATATATGAAAGAAAGATTGCATATAAGGACATAGTACAGGAAGAAAGATTTAGTACATACAAAGATATGAAGCGATTTTAATCTCTTAAGGGAAGACAGACAGTTGTTGCTAGCTTGATGCGGTGGTCGGGCTTGACCATAGTGATGAAGCAACCGGGACATACAAGCTGGAACAACCGTTCCTCAAGTTCCTACCATGCCATGTCGGTTGAAGAGCGGTAAGTCTAAATGCAACAAATACAAGGTCCGAAGGAGAAGTCGTACTGCTAACCGTACAGAGATATGACAGCAGGTGTTTCTTTCAGAAAACCCACAAAGAGGTGTGGGCTTGGAAAAGGTCAACCCTAAAAATACGCACCTTGCCTTATCCCATGGATATCCGTCTCCGGTCGTAAGGTTTCAACGAGTACGGAGCTAACACAAAAATTACTCATAAAAATGTGGCGTGTGATCGACCTCAAGCAGTTGTTTCTTGGACACTACGGTCACACTCTCAGGTCACTGTGACCACCTCTAGCCCAATTTCTTTTTCAGATACCTCCAGAAGAACTCTTCCACAGTGTAGGCAACCGGGAAGTGATAACCGCCCTCATACCTCTAACAGCACTTAAGACTATTGTATTCATAATCAATCAATACCTAATTCTACATTACTTATAACTAAAACTATTGATCAATGAAAATTATGTTCAATAGATAAGACTAAAATAGTAAATGTTCCGATAATTTAAAAATGAGACATCAATGTCCATATCTATATTATTATGATTATTATTTACAATATGAACTATACATCAGTATATATGTCAATTTAGTACTTCTTATGAATGTTTACTATTTACGTAGATAAACATAATATAACATATTTATCGATAATTAAATCCTATAGAATAATGATAACATAAAATGTATATCTATTACATATAAATTATAAAGTAGGAAACTTTATTGAAAGTAATAACTGATTAATTGATTGATTGGTGATCTATTATTCTTATTGTATTCAGATATATAAATAGTACTATCAATTTTAATAATATTTAACGAAATCTTGTCTATCATATTATAATGCATAGAGAATAAGAGTTGTTTTCTACTAGGTAGGCATAGGTATATATATATATATCGTTTATTATAAACAAATTATTGGTCAAAATAATTTCTTTGACAATATATATATATATATATATATATATATATATATATATATATACTGAGAAAGTGACAAATAGATAGATAGGTAGGTAGGGTGCGTGTGTGTGAGAGCGGGTGACAGAGGTATATTACGCTTAAATTATTCAATGTTTCTAAACAATTGAGCGATACAAGAAGAATGAAAAGAAAAAAAACCCAACAAAACAAACAAACAAACAACTGATGACATAAAATAAAACCAATGTACTATAAGACAAGCATTATTTACTTACTTACTTTATATATATTTCAAAATAGAACACATAAAGACAAAGAAAGGAATCACACAAATGATTACAAGAAGAAGGAGAAGAAGAAAAAGAGAAAAAGAAAGAGAAGTAATGAATACAATAGTCAATTTATTTTTATTTCTATCTAGATGTACACATACAAAATATGTTCAGATACATGACATTACTAATGTAAAAGAAATTCAATCATCTAGTGGAGAAGAAGAAGAAGTAAAAAGACAAATTATTGAACTATTTACTCAAGTAAAATGAAGGAACACATACAAACATACAATAAAATACTCCTGAGGACTGAACACAATGGAAGATAAAGAACATTGCTCATATTTGACAAATCAACTTGACATTATTAATAATGATAAATAGATATGATACGTAGACCAGATATAAAGACAAGTATGTGTTCATATATATATATATATATATATATATATATATATATATATGATGTATTTGTTTTTGCCAGAAAGAGAATAAAGTAAACACATGAATAAAACAAAACAAATAATCTTGTACATTTTGCAAGTACATAATATCAGTAATTAAACTGAATAATAATACAAGCGTTAGGAATCTTTATAGAGACCAACAGTTAGGAAGTTATAAAACACAAGTTAGTAAAGTGAAAGAAAAAAAAACCCGTTTATACTACATGTGAAACAGAAGTACATGATGAAAGGGAATAGAAAAAAAAAACAACCTACAGACAAATTGTTCCTACACATATATAAAACTATTCTCAAAAAACAAAAAAAAAACAACGGAAGAAATTACCCTATCAACTTCATGTTTATCAAATTTAACAAAACTCTCTAACATAGATGATATATACCGACATATACATCCGTGAGAGAACTAACACTATCACGAAACTGACAGTTAAAAAAAGAATGGTTACCTACATATTACACTATCGTGTATATACGAGTGTCGGCTTGGTTAATCAGTAAGGCAATAATAATAACAACAACAACAACAAAATGCTGATAAGATGCATAGTAACAAAAAGAAAATTCGAACAAACAATTCTAATCTATGCCAAAACATATACACAAACAATTCATTGTGTTGTTTGTTTTACAATGTTATAATATAGAACTATACGTATTTGGTTGGTATAATGTTTTGTTAAATACAAAACAAAAACAATCCCACAATCTATCCTAACTCAAGAAGAAAGAACTCAAATACAAATTGTTGTTAACGGGAAAAAAAAGTACAATGAAAAATCAGATAATTTAATTGAATAGAATAAAAACAAACAAACAGTGGAATTGTTACATACAAGTGTGTGTGTGTGTGTCTGTCTGTATCTATCTATAAAATGAATAAATAGGCAGAAAAGAAGGATATAAGAAATAGAAAAATCACAAAACAATCACTTCTACACATATAGATACTTTTATATAGAACATGCAAAATAAATATTCAGAAATTCATATTCATAAAATTGTAAAATTGAAGTACAAATATTGCGACATAATTGATCAATCAATTATCTTCCTCTCCACTCTGTCACTACCCATCCCCCATTTATATCGAATAAGGTTTGATTATAATATGAGAATATATTTAATATGAAAGGGAATCAACACGTAATTACCTATAAAACTGTAACTATTCAGATCAAGAAATGTATACGGTTTTACTTATTATTATTATTATTATATTGACATGAAATGTTCTATTCTTAAAAAGAACAAAGAGGTCTTATAATTGAAGAGGGGAATTCGGTTGAACTATATATATATATATATATATATATATATATATATATATATATATATAAAATTTAAAGAAAAATGGACAAAAAATAATTTACTACCACTCTGTAAGCCGGTTTCTTTTTACTCGTTCTTCTTCTTTTCTCTCCCTTGAAGAGAATTAAAATACAACAAAGTGAGATGAATAAACAACATACACCTAGAGAAATGATTTTGAATAATAATGATGAAATAAGAGATGAGATAAAGTAGGAAAAGAAAAATGAATCGATTGTAGAATGGAAGAAATGGACCTTGGAACATGGTGTAATGAATGAAGAAGAAAAAACAATCAAGAAAGAAGTCGTCAACTAAATGAACACATATATGTACGTGTATATGTATATATATTTACATATTAATTAATGAGTTGTTAAAGTAGTTACGAAAATACAGAATAATGTTATATAACATAACTAATTCTAATTGTAAAAAATAAACACAGACAAATAGGGGGGAAACCCAGGAGAGATTGTTTCTATGAGGTAAACTTATTATTTGGAATCATATTAGTCAGAAAAAGAAGTGAAAAGAAAATGATGGAAGAGGAAGGTTCTACAGTTTTGAAACAATAAACAATGCATACAACACAACAATATTCGACATTTTGTGTTGTCTACACCCAACCACCTACATAAATTGATAAGCAAAAAAACTGTGAATTTTAATATGCATTATTTTGGAAGAAAAACCAACAGTCTGGAAGAAAATAGATGATAACCATGTCAGTAGGTGTTTTGTAATAAAGAGAGAGAGAGAGAGGGAGAGAAACAAGGTTAACTTTGTTCAATATTAAACGACAATAACAACAAAAGAGTACGGTGTAATTTGGTTGATCTCCTTTATTGTGGACTTTTTCTAGACATACATACATACACACACAAAGAAATCAAAGTAATTCGACAAGTAATTGGGCGCAGACAGGGAGAGAGAAAAGGTGATTGTTTATTTTCGAAGTACTATTATCCTCACGAGAAATAATTTGTTAGTTAACAGAAAAATAACCAAGTGACGCTAATGTTGAGGCTGGTCGTCAATGAAATGACTCAGAGTGCAGGATATATCAAATGACAAGAAATAATTACACTATGAATTTTGTAATGTGGATTTTTGTGCAAATGTTTATCTCTATCTATCTATTTAGTGTACTTCACTTAAATTTGTCCGTTGTTCAGAAGAGTTGGGATGAGTAGGAGGCACATATGATTTTAAGTGTACATTGGTAGTAATGCTATTATTATTATTATTATTGTTTTCATTATCATTGCAACAGATATCGGGATTTTCTATTTGACTTGGATGACCAACATCAACTGTTGTCGCCGTCCCGACTTTTGTTGTATCAATTGGACTTTTAAGATTATTCTCATTATTAGTTCGATTGTGTTGTTGTTGTCTACTCGAAGCATCATTATTTACACCATTAGTGTTCCCGGTTACTTCGTCAGATTTTGATTCCAGGTTTGGATGACTACCACCACCGGTACCAGCAATAACTGACCCACATTTTTCCGATGAATTATTAGATCCGCCAGCTCGACCTAAATAATAGACAAAAAAACCTAGAATTATGAGGTACGATTTATATGAATACGAGAATACTTGTCGTTTAGATAGTGGCTTCATGGTTAAGTCATTAGACTTTCAGCAACTAAGTATTAGGTTTGTATTTAGCTTGACCATCTTTGGTTTAGGCAACCAGGTAATAACACTAGCTTATACCCAAGTACACGGTGAATGAGTGAATCAATAAATAGGACAGAACTATGTCGTCTGTGTATTTCAAGTCGATAAGTGGATCTCTAGGTCAACCCTTAAAACGTCAGACGATGAGGACCTTATCTCTAGAAGAATGTCTATGACGAAGTTAGATAAAAATGGATAAAGTGGATAACCTTGACAATTCTGATAACAAATCGGCTTAAGCCCTAACCCGACCAGTGGTGTTCGAGTAATCGATACAAGGTCGATGTACTGCTTTGATACACCATAGTGCCTTATCATTCAATGAATTAAGTATTTCTTTCATATACCCAACAGCTCTCAAATGCCCTGGTATGATCGAGGGTGGGGAGAATCCTCTCCCTCTCTGAATGCTCCCACATGGCCAAGCGTATATAACCACTGACATAGAAGTTTTATTCATTGCCTACTCGCGAGTGGTGTTTACGAAATTGAGGACGAAAAGCGAATATCCGGAGCTTTACCCGGGGCGGCGAATATTGAGAGATCCACCTATGGGAGTTGGGAAACCATAATTCCAAACTAATGACGAACATGGGGACAGATGACGTATGAACCTATTGTTGGTCACCGGCTACCATGGGACTGTATCTCCTGACGATGTTCTACTGCCTTGTGGATCGGACCTCTAGGTCAAGGGCTCGGGGAGTGACTCGCTAAGAAAACCATCTGCTTCGGTTTGGGCACCCGGACAGTATTCCAGCCCTCATACAAATCATCTGATTTGTGTGGAGCATATATATTTGGTACCTCCTTGTACCAGTGTTTGCGTTTAAATAAACACCAACGTAGAATCTAACACATTTGCATCGGTACAAGTAACATCTCATACAGCACGGCGAAATAAATATTCCAAAGAGAAAGAATGTATTCCCATAAAAACGTATTTTCAAGCTAAACATTGATTAACTATTAAACAATTAAAACACGCTTATTTATCTGCATTAAAAACATACATTTTCGCTGCCAATCAGCAGGAATTTCTCGAGAATTCGATGGTGGTTTACAGTTTTTCTTATCGGAACCTTGCAAAGCACTCACACTGGTGGTAGGTTTCTTGCTGGATGAGCCATGCTTATGATGTTCTGGCAACCAATTGTTATATGCTGATAAATTTGTTCCATCTGTTACTGATGTAGGAGGATTAGGTTCGGGATCAGGATCAAAGATATGTGGAGGCATACGAACTCTGTTCGAGAGTACTCCATTTGGACCGATAGAACGAAGTTCGTCAAAACATGGTTCGGAAAGAGCTTGAGATGGTAAAATTCTTAGTGATGGATTATAAACAAGCATTTTGCTCATTAGAGCCAACAAATCGGCTGGAGTATGCTGTGGGAAAAACAGTTTTACAGGGCAAGATTGAACATCTGGGAAACTGTAAGATCCATACATTGGATTCATACTGGCAATATCTTGTGGAGTAGGAGTGCCTAAAACGCGAATAACTTTGACCAGTTGATCTACTGAATCAGCTCCCATGAACAAGCAATGCTGACGTAACATTTCAGCCAGTACACACCCTCCACTCCAAGTATCGATCGCACAAGAATAATATTGAGCTCCAAATAATAACTCCGGAGCACGATAATACCTGAACGATAGAACAAACATTTAACAATAAGGATATAAACATGGAGAGCCATTTAGTAAAACTTTCATGCAAGAAAATAGCAATTAGTATTGTAACTGAGACTCACACGAATGAAGGTACAACAGGGCACCGAAAAAGGTGACAGTAGGTGGAGTGATAAAATAGTGAAGAAAAGAGGGGAAGGTCGTACAATCCACAAATAAATGTACAAGAATGTTTCTTTAAACAACTCGTCTAAATACAGTTTAGGAAGAATTTTTTCATTTAAACATCACCTCATTTTTATGAAGAATATAACAGAAGTCTATAGTAGAATAGTTACAGAACTCTTGCCTGAGCCACGTCGAATAATATCTCGATTCATCAAATTGTACGATTTCTAGGGCCTACACTGGGTAGCTGTGAAAGGTTGACAGATGTTGGTTCAATAAAGGTTTCTTTCGTACCAGAAAACCATGACACAAGCTAGCCACTTCACTTTTTTTAAACGAATTTCAGTATCGACAAATAATTATTGTGGAAGTTTGTAAAAAATGGAAAAAACACCGGTGGTGTTTCAAGATGAACACGGCAATCGAGTCAATATAGAAAAACTTATTATCGGATAAGCATTGAGCAGTACTGTTTTTGCAGATTAGACTAATTCATTCTTCAGGTACTTGGATATGAACTAAAATTTAAGTGTGAAAACTAATCATACTATCCGGTCGCCATAACCGAATAGGCTACTCAGTGATCAAGAGTCGAGTCCTTTAATCACCAAGTCAACACGGAAACAAGTCGAGTTAGAGTGGTAGAATCTGAGAGGGGGAAGGGTAAATAATGAGTACTGCAGACAAGGATTTGCCATAAGACACGGCATTTATAATTTACAAGCATTGAGGTGTTGAGGTTCTAGATGTGGAAGATTCAAAGTTTTAGATACACTTCGTTTACAACTGACTGATAGTTTTCATGTTTGTCCAGTTCTTTAGTGCTATTAATCAATGTGCATGCGTCTACTAGTCTAAGTGATTCGATATTCTTTTGTCTATTTTGAGATGTCAGGTGGTTGGAGGAAACCATATCGACTATTTCCAACCACGTAATATATTTTGTTACGATCAAACACCTAAACTGCTTTGAAGGATCATAAATCCTTGGAACTGGACGTAATCCCATCTGACTGGTCTCAATCACTGATCGTGCCAGTTTATAAGAAAGGACAAAAGTCTTCTTGTGACAACCACAGAGGAATTAGTTTGACTAATATAGTGTCTAAAATATTAGCTTCAATAATACTTCGACGTCTAACCAAAGCTCGTGAAATACAGACTAGAGAAAACCAGGTTGGTTTTCGACCTGGACGTGGTTGTATAGATCAGATATTCACACTACGTCAGATTCTAGAACATAGACACACATTCAGACGCCCTACAGTGGTAGTATTTCTCGACCTTAAGGCGGCATTTGACTCTGTTGATCGTGAGGTTCTATGGCAGTGTTTGCCACTGAAAGGAGTACCAAAGAAGTACATTAACCTTATGAAGGCTCTCTACTCGAACACAACTGGTCCAAAGAGAGCTTACGGTGAACTGTCATCAGAACTGATTACCTCAAGTGGTGTTTGTCAGGGCTGTCCACTCTCTCCATTCTTGTTTAACTTTGCCGTTGACGTGCTTTTATAAATAACACTTTCCTCATCTAAATTTCCAAGGGTTGAACTTCTACCGAGAGATTCACTTGTTGCCTTAGAATATATAAAAGAAATAGATCTATTTGGTGAAGACGCTGACAGAATGCAGAGTCTGCTGACCACTCTAAGCAACAATGCAGGCATGTTCGGGATGCCATTCTCTACCTCGAAATGCAAAATGTTGCTTCAGGATTGGGTTAAATCGGCACCCGAACTAGTGATAGGGAGTGAAGTTGTTGAGCGTGTCGACCGCTTCACTTATCTCGGAAGTCTCATCAGCCCTTGTGGTATGGTATGTGACGAAATCTCAGCACGGATACAGAAGGCTCGACTAGCTTTTGCCAACTTGCGTCATTTGTGGCGTATTCGAGATATCCGTCTAGTAACCAAAGGACGGGTTTACTGCGCAGCAGTTCGTTCCGTCCTACTTTATGGCAGTGAAACATGGCCGGTAAGAGTAGAGGATTTTTGTAGGTTACTAGTATTTGACCATTGGTGTTTTTGAAACATTGCTCGTATATCCTGGGACCACCGAGTAAGTAACTCAGTTGTTAGGAAACGGGTACTAGGTAAGGATGGCAAATCAATTGATAATGTAGTGAAACTTCATCAGTTGAGATGACTGGGACATGTATTGCGCATGCCAGACCACCGACTGCCACGACGTGGGATGTTTTGTGGTGTAGGAATAGGTTGGAAGAAAGCTAGGGGCGGCCAGACCAAAAAATGGCACAAATCCATGAAGTCACTAACATGTGGACTGAGCCATGTTGGTAGATGTAGACTACCTGGTTGGGGACAGCGAGATGATAGCAACCGATGGTTAGAGACCTTGAATGACATGGCTGAAAATCGTTTGCAATGGCGCAGGTGCATCTACTCTTTGTGTTCTCTCAAACTCTAATCTTCTGTATTCTTCATGTCCTTTATTTTCTTTCCAAATCTATTCCACTGGACTATACTCCTTAAATAACATCATCAAACCTTAACGTTTCCTGTCACTACTTATACTTCCACTACTCTGCCACTACGGGATTTGAGACGATAACTGAATCTCTGTGCTAATGTGGTATGGCAACTCGAACTGATGTACGTACGTACGAAGTTCCACGTTGTTTCTGACTGACTGAGGATCATAAATATAAATCAATCGTTTGACATATATAAGTGAATATTACAAAAGAAATGTTTTAAGTATTTGGTTCCCATAAAAAGACACAAACAGTAAAAACCTTTATGTGCTTATAAGTGTGTATTCAGCAAGTTGAATCGCCTTTTGATGTATACGAAAAATATAGTGATAGAACATCAATAAGTCAATAAAACACGAACGATAAAGACAATAAGGGGCCTATTTAAAGTACATCACTGCTACATCGATTTCACAATGCTACATAGGTATGCATATAATTCAATATCTGGTAGGATCATTCAAAGTACTTATCAGATAAAACAAAAATGAAGTAAAATTTTGATAGTACATACTTAGGTGCACATGCATTTGTAAAAAGGACAAATAAAAGGACGAATATAAACTAATCAAGTTATTGAACATTTTAAAACTACGTATTCCTGAATTAAGGATTTCACGTGAGGATAGAAAGATTATTTTGTTTCTCAAAAAAAAAAAAAAAAACTGAACTAATAGGCATGTTTGATGCGTCAACCTGAGCAACATTCATATGTGGTCATTATCAAATAAACAAATACTTTAGAAAAACTACGAATGCTACATATTCATCTATTTTGTTTTGACTGAGTAATAGGATTGATGGAATCAGTCTTTGAGTGCATACGTATTTACACTCAAATCAGATACCGCGATCCACTAAATAACATTATACATTTTCAAGCTATGAATGTGTTATTCCAAATAAACAAGCCTAATTATATATCTAGGAAGATAGTAATAAACATCGATATAAAAGTGGAAAAGCGGAGGGATGTACCACCCATTTGATATGACGTTGCTTTGATAAAATGAGATATTAAACTTTATCTACACGTTAAGAGCAGAAATAGAAATATTAGAGGGTATGGTACAAATTACAACGTAGACAAGATAAATCTTATTTCGATCAAAAGTAAGAAAACAGCACAAAAATAATAAATGATAACGGTTTAAGGGGGTGTTTAGAGATGTTTTACTCTTCATCATACTGAGAGATGCTAACCAAACAAAATTCATTACCGTGATATAAAATATTGTTTGGATAAGCTGAGATTATAAAATGACTTTAAAGTGCAAGCACGTTTGACTGGAGATAAGTGTCTTGATAACTTCCATAATTGCTTATTACATCTGAACTTGGGGAACTTGTTGATCTTGGTTACTGAAACCATCAACAACAAGGAGAGAAATATCATTTAACAGTTATCACCAATTGAACAAAGTTGTAAGAACATTTTACATGCAATTAGTCAATTACAAACTGATTGAAATTAACAAGACTGGTAAATTTGTAGCAGAAAATACATCAAATACTGATGTCACTGAAAGTAGTGGTTGAACATTATTCTAAGTGTATCGGTTGATATAAGGAATTCAAACGACTTGTCTTTGGACCAGTTTCAACAGCTGACTAACTGTAAGTAGTGAAAATCCTCTCAAGATAACTTAAAAATGTCTAACACCCAAATCAGTCAGTCACAACGTAGGACCCGTACGTATGTACATTGGTTCAAGTTGCAACACCCGATTAGCGCAGCTAGACCGAATCCCAGAACAGCGGAGGTAATAATAGTATGAGTGGTACTTGAAAAAACTAAGCATCGAAGACACGACTCAAGAAAACTCAAAATATCGGAATAAAAAAATTAAAAGGGATTCACAAGCTTAGAATCTGGGGGGGAATGAGAAGAACTGCGTCATTGAAAACGATTTTGAGCCATGTCATTCAGTCTCCAACCACTTGATACGATAATCACGCGAACTCCAACCAGGTGGTAATCTATACCTATTAATATGATTTAGTTCAATTGTCAATGACTTCACGGATTGTTTGTTTGGTTGCCCGTAGCTTCTTTCTAACCAACTCCCAAGGTGATGATTGGACATACGTACATACATGTCCCAACTACTTCAGTCGATAAAAGTTTACTATCTCATTAATCGATTTCCCATCCTTACCAAGCACTCTATTCTTAACCCAGGGATTCCTTATCCGGTGGTCCCAAACTACACGGACAATGCTTCAAAACACCTATGATTCAACACTAGTAACCCATGAATATCCTCTGTCCTTAATGGTCATGTTTCACATTCATGAAGATAGAGCGAGCTGCTGGGCAGTAAACTCGCCCCTTAGTTGGAAGACGGATATGTGGACGAAAACCAAAGCTTTAGGATCGAGTTTACCAAACACGTTAATTTGCCAAGTTAACAGTAAATACCAGGTGGAGATTAGGATGTGTTCTCATCTTGTTTAGTTAAATAACTTGACCAGATAGAGCTTCGTCCCAAATGTTTTATTTGAATCTAAAGGTTGTTCCCAATAACTAAGGGACATTTACCGATTAACAAAGTACAATGCTTTTGAGCTTGATTCATTTCGTAAAGAGATACTGGTCGATTTACAGAGAACATAAGAAAAGGAATTAATAGGTCCTTGCGAAACCATGGACAGAAATTTGACCGTAAATGATATGTGCTTTACACTCATAAAACACAAGTTGGTTGTGCGGCTATCGATGATTGGTTCAGCTGTTTGACTCTAATTTTTGGATTTTAGTTTTGCATGACTAATCAAGGTTAAATCAGTCATAAAATATTACGGTCTTCAAATAACATAGCTAGACCTAAGTTGGACGTTTAGGAAGGAATATTAATTTGGTATGCACACACATCTAACTTGGATTTTGAAAAACGAAACATTATTGAATTACTGAAATCAATACTGAATAAGGTATAATGTTTAATTGAAACTAGTTGGGCATAAATTTTACTGAGTTGGTTTAATTTTTCGAATCAGTTACTAGATGAGAATCATGGACCTTTTTCCAAGTATATGCCGTATTCCCCAATGTTTAGTCCTTCTTAATACCACTCACCACTATTATTTGGACTCGAGCTATTTTCCCCCCTAACTTTACATCACCGTACTGATGTTGTATGGCAACTTCAACAAACTCATATTTGTGCTAAACTATGTTGAATATAAATGACTGACCTCTTCAAGTACAAAATTTGACAACCAGTTAGCATTCTTATGAGAATACATCTGGTATACTCAACTACATAAACTTACAAGTGATTAATGAGGTATGTTTGTTTGGTCACTTAAACTCCAGATAATTTTTTTATGTTTACTTCATCTAAGAACGAATTAACATCAGCTATTGATAACTCAAACTTACACATACACAATCATTCATTTATCTTCGCACTGAACTTTTCATATGATTCACATGGCTCATGTTATCCAACTTACTAAAGTCAACATTGGAATAAGATTTAATAAGCACAGTAAAGATTTGATTTGATTGTTAAACATACATTCTTCGATAATTTTGATCTTGATTATCCTGAAGAAGTCCGGACAAGGTTGCCGGACGAAACGTTGGAATCATTTAAATTCCAATCACTGAGATTATTTCAAATATCATTTTCACAAATAAACGTTTTACGTAGTTATTGTAATGGAACCGAATGCTGTCTTTGGGTAGAGAGATACAATTAAAGTTGGGCGTTGATATGACTACTTTAAAACCTGACGGAGAGTATAGATCCAGTCTGTATATCTACTATTAGATCATAAATTTGCCTGGTTCTTTCAAGTCTGCTATTCCTAGGTTCTATTCACTCAGTGAATAGTTACTGAGGCTAATATTTCATATATTATATTAGACAAACTGATTCGTATACGGTCGTCGCAACAGGATTTTTGCCCTCTCTACGAACTATGATGATTAGCAATCAGGATCAGTAGGTTAGAATAACGCTCAGATCCCAAGAAACTCAACTTCTAAAGCTGGATTACCATCCTCAAAAACTTCAATTTATAAGACCATTGATTTCTATCACTTCAAATTAGATTTAGTCTCTTCAAACATTGGTAAGAGCTACCAGGCTTGGATTGATCTCTCACTCAGGTTGTATGAAAATAGGAAGTAACTGAAGAGTAGTTGTATAGCAGTTGACTTGATCCTTATAGTATTTGTTACCATTCCAAAATTGTGAAGTGGGAGTGAATCACCAATCCATTTTTGCCAGCAAGTCCTACTATAGACTTACTGAGTAATAATTGTTAACTTAATGAGTCTAGGCAGTTACCTATCGCCCCTACTTTCATCTAGTTAGCTTTAGTTCCCCGGTAAAATGTACGGTTAACACATGGACCTTTCCAGTCTGATTTTAGGATACCGAATGGAAAGCAAGACCAGAGTTTAGTTATTGATCTGATTATGGAAAACGTCATCATTGATTATTACAATGTACTGAGAAGAAATCGATATCACGATGTAAATGCTATGCCTCAGAGACTAGCGGTGAAATTATTTATCTTATAATGGGTATGCTGAAACGTAAGCGCAGTGAATGAGGATACAAAACAACAAGCGACTGTGTGTGAATGATGGGGGGTTATGAGAAGTGAACTCGGCTGCAATCGTTTACTACTAGTTACTGCCCCCAAATGCCCTGGTACGGCCGAGAGTGGGGAGAGTCCGCTCTCCCTCTCCAAATGCTCTCACATGGCCACGAGTATATAGCCTCTGCCAGGAAAGTCCTACTCATTGCCTTCTCGCACCACAGTTGTTTACGAAATTGAGAGAACGAAAAGCTTTAACCGGATTCCAAACCAATGGTGCACATGGGCTCCAGTATCCTGAAGGAACAAATGGAATATGAACCAATCATTGGTCACCGGCTACCATGGGACTGCATCTCCTTACGATGCTCCACTGCATTGTGGATCAGACGTTCAGGTCGAAGGCTCGGGGTGTGCCCCCTAAGAAAACCACCTGCTTCGGTTTGGGCACCCAGGCGGTATCACAGCCCTCACACATCAAATGAGATTTGTGTGGCGCATATGTATTTTGTGCCTCCTTGTTATTATTTTAACACATAAGTATAGGTACAGGGAGGCACCAAATACATATGCGCCACACAAATCTCAATTAATTTGTGTGAAGGCTGTGATACTGCTCGGGTGCCCAAACCGAAGCAGGTGGTTTTCTTAGGGGGCCACACCCCGAGCCTTTGACCTGAACGTCTGACCCACAAGGCAGTGGAGCATCGTAAGGAGATGCAGTCCCATGGAAGCCGGTGACCAACGATTGGTTTATACACCATTTGTTCCTTCAGGATATTGGAGCCCATGTGCACCATTGGTTTGCGATCCGGTTAAAGCGCCGGACATTCGCTTTTCGTCCTCTCATTTTTGTAAACAGCACCCCCGCCACGAGAAGGCAGTGAGTAGGACTTCCCTGGCAGAGGCTATATACGCATGGCCATGTGAGAGCATTTCGAGAGGGAGAGCGGACTCTCCCCACTCTCGGCCGTACCAGGGCATTTGGGGGCGTGCCTCCTTGTACCAATATCTATGTATTAAAATACAATAATAATAAAAATACTAGTTACTGAGACCATAAAAATACGTAGTACCCTAATAGATGAATGGCATCATTGATGTGTCACTCGGATAGACGTGACACCAAGTTGGAACTGAGGACTGAGTTGTTTTGATCCGAAATTAAAATTTCAGAGATGCCTGACAGAAGACATACGACCAGTGGGACAATTATTTTATGGACAAATCGTTTGGTAAAACAGGGCATGAAGAGTGCTCCCCAAAACCAAGTGACATCTTTGTAGAGATAGAAACTTCAAACGATAAATGAATAAGCATATTGTTTATTAAACAATGCTTAAATAGAACAACAAGCTTGGTAGATTTTGTCCAGCTGGGGTTAGCCATATCTTCATCAATAATGTTCAAGACGCAAATGGACTTTAGAAACATAACTTTAAAGGAGGACTCCAGTTCCTAACCTTGTCGAACCGACGGAAGGCAGTGTAAATACTAAGAAGCCATTATCACTGACCTACTACGTGTGATGGCGTTTTGGCATCAAGTCGAAATTAAGAATGCAAGACATTCAAAACTTAGACAAAAGGAATGAGGCAAGTTTAAGAATGAATGACTAGTTACTAAGATCCTCTACGGTTATACATTGAGCACTATTATCCAAGTTTACACAATAAATAGGGGAACTGGACTACTACCGTAGATGTATATTATTAATGGATAGTGTGGCTGAGTCTGACATTATACAAAACCTGAAAGAAAAGTTCGATAGGATTACGTCCAATCCTAAATCTGGAATGTCAGCTAACTTCTATAACTGGAAAGTCAATTTTTCAAGCCCCTCAGCTCCGCCTGATGGAGCACGGTCAAGGACACGAGAACTGTTAAGATATAGATGTGCTTAAATTAATATAATAACAAGATACAGTGTAGTTACAGTGGATTATCACTAGAAATACACTAATTAGGAATTAGTATCAGAAACTAATCAAAGACAGGAAAAGAATATAGTAACTTACCGAGAGGATATATAAGATACATTAGCAGTTCCCGGCACCATTTCTTTAGCACTTCCAAAGTCACACACTTTCAAAACCATAGTATCTTCATTGACTAGTAAATTGGACGACTTTATATCACGGTGGCATATTTGATGGCTATGTAAGTAAGCAAGGGACTTGAGCATCTGATACGTAAAAACCTTTACTGTACAAGCTGGTATTTTCAGGTTCCTTTGAGAATAGCGGTATATGAGTTCACATAAGCTCTCGGGGAAACATTCCAGCACAAGATGCAAGAACACATCTACACCCGATGTAGATGCACCTGCACGTCCACCACCACTCCTATGGCCCCGACTATTTGACGACGCTGTCGAGTAATAGTAGTAGTAGAACTTCACAACATTAGGATGGTTGTTAAGGCGCTGCATAATACTTAGCTCACGGTTTTTGTAGCGAGGATCCTGCAAGACACGCTTTACGGCGACCTGTAAACTTTGTCCTCCATCAGAGAAACCACCGACATCGGAATTCTTTTTACCTGGTGTGCCTGAAGATGTTGCTGGGACAGTGAGAGTAGCTCTTTCAATTTGTCCAAATGTCCCCTGTCCAATAGTTCCCACAAAGCTCAAATGTATAGGAATATGCTGATTATCTTGTGCACCGCGGGCCTGAACCATCATTTGACGAGGAACAGATAATCCACTGTTTAACAAACTCATCAAGGCCCCACTGGAACATCGTGTGGAGCTTGAATGATTAACCACAGGAACTGGATCTTGAGTAGGAGCAAGATTTCCAGATAATTTGGGAGCTGGATTTGCAACATTGTGGTTGACGCCTGAGCCAGTACCACCAGTAATTCTGGAAGTCAAGCTCATTTTTAGCTAACTTGGTTGGATACGTATTTCTCGAATTACTGATGTCAAGCGATTACTTTAGGATAAATTTTTAATAGTATAAAATTTCCTATTCTGGTTTCGATGTTTGGTGAACAATATAAAAACGGGTCCAAAACAAAGCGAAGAAAACCAGCATTTGTCTAACGCGCAAGGGCAGCTGAAAGCAGCATTTCAAACAAAATTAAACCTACAATATTTGTTCATAACTAATTATGCTGAGGAAAATAAAATTTACATCAGTAATTGTGATTCTAGTTATATAAAATTTTTTCGGGTCACTTTTATGTAGGAACAGTAAAGTAACAAAATAAATGGTGTTGGGATACAATATGATATTGTACTATTATTTCCTTTAACCTATTCTGCTGTAGAATTTTTCAATTCAGTCTTGTAATTCCCTTCACTGTGCTAGAGTCCCATGGCAAATTCTTTCTTCATGTGTCTTCATAATGTTCTTATGTTGACATATACGAATTCTGAGATCAATTCTGTTTCAGTTACTTGAACACTTTTTAATGTCTTATGTTCTTTTTAAGAAACAGTTGAACTATTTTGACGTGAACTGAACTTTAACAGGACAAAAGTCATACGTTTTTATAACTAGTTGTGCAATTAGTTGACTGAATGATCAACGTTTTGATCAAATGTTCGATAAAACCTTAGTAACTACAGTTCAGTGGTATGCACTAGCATTCGACGTAAAGATTACACAGATGTTCTGGGTTTGACCGAGCTTCTGTACGTAACACCTTCATAACCTAACGGTACCAACTCAGGTAAATCAAGGTCAGGAGTGATTGAGTTCGAGGATATGTATAGATAGATCGTAGAGAAACTTTTGATCTAAGCTAGCTAGTGGTTGTAGGAGATGAGTAGCACAGAGTATTCACTTGCGAGCGCCCTCAACTAAGGCGTGTCGCTCAAAACCGGTTACGTCTACGTCAGCGCTGAAGACTTAGAAATATTTAGTTTGGGTTTTCTTTGCCGCAACGATCTTTTGATTGTTGATTGGATTTTGGTCAAAAAGTGTAAGGAATGAACGACTCAATGCTACTTACATCTTTTGTAAATTTCTTGTGAGCTAATATACATTACGACAAGGATATTTAATTTAACATTTACAAAAACTTAGCTTATTCTTTCGAAATTTCTGGACGTTTCTGTAGTATGCTTTTTATTTTAGGTGGTCTTCCATATCCAGATATGCTGATCGGACTGATTGTAGTGTTTTCCATACTACTAATACTGAGTAAGTGAACTGGCAATGAACTATGGAAAAATAATCCTACAATCTGAACATATTCTTTATTGTGAATTTAATAAGTAAACGTCGAGTGGTTGCTAATAAATAGCCATACTCAGAGATAACTAACGCTAATTATTTAGTCGATATCATAGAAGAAGCACCTGAGGTAACGCGGTCATCTTTTTCGAATCTCACCAATTCACCTTTCAATATATATGTATTTTCTATTCTCTGAGTGAGATTTTGTCGTGTCTGTAAAGTTACCGAATGAAAAGTGTAGTCTTGCATTCAATTCGGTAGGGCTAGTTTTAAATGCACCTAGTAGTGTGGTATGATAATTAAAAGTATCCGAATCAATGTACTAAAAATTTCCGGAACGGTGATATTTAAGGTGAAAAGAACTAGATGAACACAAATGAATGTATAATATATGGAATTCGTTATTAGCAGACAGTCATGTTCGAAAGAATCATTATTTAATACATATACCACAACTGCCACAGCCTAAATTGGAGTCTAAGTTTTTGTTACGGATTGGACGTCTCCTTAGGTTCATTTTATTTCTGTCAGGCTGCATGATCTGGAATATGCTTATAAGTGTTGGAATTGATAACTGAAATTGGAACAGACTCACTTGGTTCCCGCAATTTATATGATTAACATGTCAGTTGTAGATACTTAAATCATTGATATATAGAATTCACAAGATGGACTTTCCAACAATAACCTCTCCCACGAAATAATGTCGAGTCTTCATATCTGAAGTTACAGGTAATGTCGTTTTATTTAACACATTTCTCTCATTGACTAGAGGTGATTAGTAGTGGCAAATTGTGGGGATAAACAATGTTTGATATGAAATCACCCGAAATATAATCAGTTTTGAACTCACTTAGAACTTGAGCTTCACATTGATAAAATTTACTATCAGAAACAAGCAAATCATGAAGATAAATATATGACATAGTATCATCAGGACTTGATAGTTTTGATATATTTTCTTCAAACTGTAGCGACATACTTCTATGAAGAGAACGCGATTGGTTCGATGAAAACGATTATTATTATTATAACCAATTGTACCAGTGATTGTTTTACTGTGCTCGTTTGTTTAACTGTGCTAATGACAGCCAATATACTTACTTACTCTCCCGTTGACTTTGAACTTGTACGAATTCGGTTACGCTTAGTTACCACGCTTCTACTCCTTTGGCACGATCTCGGTATTCTTTCGATACCGCGAGATCGCCAGCAAATACAACTCGACTACAGCCATCATCTGCCTTCTGACATTGACCTACGGGAATCTTATTGGTTAACTGGCACGCAGTCTTCTTTTAGTGGTGTCCATAGTCAATCGCGACTCGACTACACGCTACAGAAACAACTAAGAATGTTATTGGAGAATAATGGATCATTAGAGGAATCAACATTGATCAAAATTGCATAAAATTTCCTATCATGATTTGATTTATTCGACATGTTTGTCTTGTTTTTATGAGACATTCCATCAAAAATATACATGTTTATTAGGACAACCCATATCTAGTGAAATAACATGACAAATCTGGTAAGTTGATTCCTGAATACGAGTCCCTTCAGATTTCTCAACAAGTGTCACGTGAAACATAAGTTTGTTTTGGCTAGAGTTTACTTCAGAGTTATGCAAGGCTGACAAAACTTCATTTAATTCTGGACTGAAGTATGACTCTATATTACCTGTGTCATGCAATGAACCAAGAGAGGCATATAATCGCTTTTGAATATGGAAATTACCTTTCGAAATAGCGAATGAAGATAAACGATCATTATATACACTCAATTTAGCGAAATCAGATCTGAAAAGTTTATCATCACTAGTGGCAAGACTAACAGTAGCTCTATGAACAGGAAAATAGGAAACATTATTGAACAAACACGACCTTCAGTGAAACTTCATAGTTGTTTGCGGTCCCCTTGTGCATTAGGCATAGGTTTAAATATGTTGCTCAAGAATTAGAAACGGAAAGTACGAGTTTCTTTAGCAGCCAGAAGTGGATTCAGTATATTTAAGTAGACGTCTCAATGTCATTTTTTATCTAGAAAGCCGAAGTTCAAGTGAGCACAACGTGGAGACTGGGATAACGGATTCTGTAAAAATTATGTCCATGATGTGTTCAACTTTCCATAGCAGTCTAAGAATACCCTGGTCTCGTTAGAATCCAGCTCCGCCAGTGTTGCTGTGGGGTCACATTTTTAAAGGTGGATAGATAATTCTTATTGCGGTCGATGCACCCAAATTACGCCAGGATATTTCTGTCGAGTCACACATATACCGTACTTTATGCATGTTTCTTAGCCTTCTTAGAGAACGCATTTATGAAGGTGCAGTGTAAAAACTGTTAACATTTATACATTAAAATCGATATTGAATTTCTTGCATTTCTTTGTTCAGTCTTTCGGGTCGCTCGCTTTGTGCATTAGTTTGTGCATATTGTGGTCAAATTAGGATGAAGAAGACAACATTAAGGGGTACAATAAGGTTCACTAAGTTCAACAACTTATGACGTTCTTGTTGTTTACTGTTTGGTAAGGGATTTTTGACCTTTGTTATCGGGGATAAACACTGGACCCTAGTAAAATTTCTAGTTTTCCTTGGTTTTATGAAATATCGGAAAATCCTTAGAGGGACACTTCAAGTCTTGACATTTTTGCAAGTGAGTTGACCGCAAAAACATATATATTCAGCTTGTTATTACCCAAATTCAATTTCGTATATTCCGAGTGACTTAAACTGTCGCTGCTGGATCACCTGGTGGTTAAACGAATTTCTATCCGGCAGTCCTGATACTGAACACAACTTAGAACAATGGTAGTGGGAAGAGTTATGAACCAAAACGTAACAATTTATGATTTTAACGTTAGCATTAAATTAGTGAACTAGCAAAGACTGTGAAATAAGTCCAAACAAGAACTCGGCTACCCGACATGGTAACTCAGGAAAGTCAAATTTAAAGTAAAACAACTATGAAACAGCTGTGATGATCTCAACGACTTCGAAGGATTGACTGAAGTCTAAAAATGGTAAACGTTATAAAAATGATGAACACAAACAAACGAAAAGAATGCATCGTTGGCCACCTTTTCGTGCCGGTGTGTACTCCTCGTTTTTCCTATGGTTCCAGTTGGCCTTTTTTCAGACCGTGGATCAATCTGCTGCAAGTGCTAGCTGTACTGTAATTTCTATATCTTATCAATACATAACTCATCTGACTGCGGTAGTCAGACTTTAATTGAGGGTGAGCGAATCAGTGGTGAACTGTACTATATGGTCACTCTTAACATACGGCAAACAATGAGGTTTACGAAAATGTTTTTACAGAAAACATCATCTTAGGCTGAATATAATTTGAGCCATTCTTTCTAACTGTTTCCACTTATTGCACTGCGGTGGACGGTATGTTGATATCAGTTAGATTTCAACGGAAAACACTTTCTGTTCACTCCATTTTGTTTTTGTAGTTCATTATTGGCAAATTCAGGTTTTTATGACTGAATCCTTATCATCAGACGACTATGTACTGTACATCGACTGGCTAACAAAACTGAACCTAGAGTTCGGCTTTTGTCTCGCATACTGATTGAGATATTAGTTTTATAAATGTTTTGTCTCTTTAAGTCATTGTATTGTCAACAAAGTTCCCATGATTTAAGTGGCTAATCAACTAACCCGGACACGACATACCGATTACCGCCTTATGTAGGATTTGTGTTGATACATTTCGATATTCTACAGCCTTTTGTGACTATACGTTTATAATTTCACATTGCTTAGGAACTGAATTTAGTATTCCATCTTGTTTTTGTATGATGCCAGAACATAGACATTAAGATCATGTTTTACAGATGGTTACAGAGGGAAGCGA